AAAAAAACTTTTTCTCAGCCTGAGTGACAGCCTAAACAGTGGAAAGATGTCGAGTGTGTCCTACCACATCTCCAACCTGTTGGAGAAAATGACCTCCACTGACAAAGACTTCAGGTAAGAAACAGTGAGCAGCTCTCACAGTGAGATGACACTTTTTTAAAACCCCGACTTGTGTGTGCCATTTTAGCACAGAGGAGACAATAGTGCCCTCTATACAGTCTTAATTACTTTTATTTAATCGACACATCATTTATTAGTTTTCTCTACCTGAAAACAAAAAAATAGATGTAACAATTTTACCTAACCAAGGTTACGTTTTCATAAAAAACTCCAAATATTATATTAATATTATTGACTAATTTAATCATTATCAAAATATGTTTGTAAATATCTGGTCGGCTGTGATTTTTTTTAAAGTATCAAATACTCAATTACAGAAATTGGAAGTAGGGATTTTTTTGCTAACATGATAAATTCATGATCTAAATTGTTTTATATTTTGATAAAGTGAGTCGTTGTTGTCCAGGTAGATAGCAGTAGGTTCAAGAATGTTGGAGATTTTTGTTATTTTATTTTGTCTTAAAAACCTTTTAATACATTGCAAAATATCTTTGGAGATGTTTTTAACACTGGAGAACACATATTGGGTTTACTGCCATGTATGACCAAGAAAAGTATATTCTGCAACTGTTTTACATGTTTTGATAACTCTTTGAGTGTTATAAACACATCTATAAGCCAACAACAACACAAGTATAGATTTGAATTACTTAATAATACCAACCTCTACCTCTCTCTTTGTTGTCATTGAATTGATGAGCTAAATATTTATTGGACAAGTAATGTGCACATCTTTACTGAAAGACCACAAATGTAACAGAAGTGTTGAAAAAGCATCTAATTAAAGAATAAATAGACATCTAAACAAATCTAGACACTTAATTCATTATTTGACCCTTTTTTTGAGGCAGTAATGAAAAGAAGGATCACTGAAAGGATTCACAGATCAGTTTATTAACTTTGGTCTCTATGTGTGTGTGTGTGTGTGTGTGTGTGTGTGTGTGTG